TGTCTGGATAGTGGATGTGGCAGTGCCTGGAGACAGCAAAATAGAGGGAAAGAACTGGAGAAGATAACAAAATACAAATACCTACAAATAAAAATAGAACAACTGTGGCAAATGCAAGCAAGGGTAATATCAATAGTAATAGGTGCCTTGGGTGCAATCCCAAAACAACTGGAGCACCACTTGAATACCATTGGCATTGACAAATTCGCCATTAGTCAATTGCAAAAGGCAGCCTTACTAGGAATCGCCTCCATCCTGCGACGATATCTGTAATACCATCAAACATCCACATCTGCCTATCCCAGGTCCTTGGGAAGGACTCAATAGGTAGACAAAAATGCCAAATCCAGTCTGGACATCTGGCTGACTGTGCGATGATCAATCATAATAATAATAATAGCAGCAGCTGAAGAAACAGTGGACCCACCTGGTAAGCTACTGCAAGAAGATCGCACAGACTGACTACAAGCAGCGGCATGACAAAGTAGCAACAATGGTGCATTGGAAGATCTGCAAGAAATATCATTTGCCTGCAAGCAAGAACTGGTGGGACCATAAAATAAAGAAAGTCATAGAAAATGAAAATGTTAAATTGCTCTGGGACTTTAGAATTCAAACAGACAAGCACCTGCCACATAACACCCCGGACTTAACAATTGTCGATAAGAAAAACAAAAAAGTCTGGATATGGATAGTGGATGTGACGGTGCTTGGAGACAGCAAAATAGACGAGAAAGAGCTGGAGAAGATAACAAAATACAAAGACCTACAAATAGAAATAGAAAGACTGTGGCAAAGGCAAGCAAGGGCAGTACCAATAGTAATAGGCACCTTGGGTGCAATCCCAAAACAACTGGAGCACCACTTGGACACCATCGGCACTGACAAATTCGCCATCAATCAATTGGAAAAGGCAGCCTTACTAAGAACAGCTTCCATCCTGTGACAATACCATTAATTCAAACATCCACATCTGCCTACCCAGGTCCTTGGTAAGGACTCGATAGGTAGATAAAATGCCAAATCCAGTCTGAACATCTGGCTGTATGTGACTAATACTAATAATAATACTAACAACAACAACAATAATATCAGTATCAACTAATCAGGGGACTACAAACCTTATCGTTTAACACCATAATATGGATTATCTTACCGTTTAACATAAAGCATGTCTCAAGTGACTTTCTTCATCCACCTGTTTAATTTTTCTATTACAGCATTTCAGGAAATGCCTTTTTTAAGGTTGTTCAGATCAGGCCTGGCTGGTTCACACAATACTAAATCTTTTGCTGTATCTTTGCAACAAGCCAAAATGTAAATCATATGGTGTCTTAATGCTGCAGCTCGGTTCATAACATACTATGACTAATGGCAGCATTTCTACCACATACTGAACAAAAACGACCCCATTTTGGCCTAGTCCACAGGTAGTCCTCAACTTACAACAGTTCATCTAGTGACCATTCAAAGTTACAACGGCACTGAAAAAAATGGCTTATGACCACTTTTCACAGTTACAACCTTTGCAGCATCCCCATGACCACATGATCAAAAATTTAGATGTTTGGCTACTGCAGTGTTTCTCAACCTTGACCATTTTAAGGCATGTGGACTTCAACTCCCAGAATTCCACAGCCAGCATTGCTGGCTGTGGAATTCTGGGAGTTGAAGTCCACATGCCTTAAAATGGTCAAGGTTGAGAAACACTGGGCTACTGGTTCACATTTATGTGGCTTGCTCTGTGATCTTCTGACAAACAAGTCAACGGGGAAGCCAGATTTACTTAACAGCCGTGTGACTAACCTAACAACTGCAGTGATTCGCTTAATAACTGTGACGAGAAAGGTCATAAAATGGGGCAAAACTCACTTTAAAAATGTTTCGCTTAACAACAGAAACGTTGGGCTCAATTGTGGTCATAAGTCGAGAACCACCTGTATTGTGATTTGTAAACCCAGACATTAAACATTATCTTTAATAAAATAATAATTTGAAGTCTGGTTGCCTGGAGGAAAGTGAAACTAAAGAATCCCTGCAAGGAAATGAAGTAGAAGAAAGATGGCATAATCTTGCAGACAGATTTCACCAGCTGCATTGCCCTGCTTTGGAGACACATGATGCCATAGCTACTGATGCTTTTGAAAAAAGGAACCACTGTTTCTTTTCTCTCACCATGAAACCACAAATCTCAAAAAAAAAAAAAAAACCCTTTGGTGTCCTATTCTTCATTCATCTTTGGTTGGGCAAGGATTACCCTGCTATTTTAAAGAGCCAACCATTCCAGGAAAGGTCACACTCAGTAATACACAACCATCATTCCTAGGATACAAAGGCTACACAACAATGTTACTATTGACATTATTAATCTGTGGAATGGCTTGCTTTCACAAGATGGGGCGCTCCACCACTGGAGATTTTAAAGAAGAGACTGGGCAGCCATTTGTCAGAATGGGAAGGGGTCTCCTGCTTGAGCAGGGGGTGGACTAGAAGATCTCCTAGGTCCCTTCCAACTCTTCTTATTCTGTATTAACTAGGCCCTTTTCAGGCCAAGATATGAGAAGGAAACAGCACTGGTTGCATTTTTAGATGACCTCTGAGAAGAGAAGGATGGGGGAAGTACATCCATCTTTGCTCTTCTTGACCTCACTGTGGCCTTTATACCATCAACCATGGTATCTTTCTGGCCCAGTTGTGAGAGTCGGGGTCTCTCAAAACTCTTGACCATTTCACTGGAAGATCCTGACTTTTCTAGCACTACAAGTGGAAAAAACGATCTGCTGCTTCCCATGAAAATAATATTCTTCAATCTAATAACTCCTAGATCAGCGGTTCTCAACCTTTTTATACGGCGACCCCCGCTCACACGGACGTGCCGCGCATGCGCAGCGCGCATGCGGGGAGACGCCCCATGCGTGGCATGCATGCGCGGCGGCGCCCCCTGAGGGGGATCGCGTTGTTTGGCGACCCCTGTAAAATGGTCGTTCGACCCCAAATGGGGCCGCGACCCATGGGTTGAGAACCGCTGTCCTAGATTAATTGAAAGTTGACCTCCATAATACCCCGATTAGTTCTGTGCCTCAGTAAGGCAAGCAACTGCCTTCAACTCTCCCAATCTGTCTACCTTTCTTTCTTGCTTATACTTCCTGCAGTGGTGCCAGGAAGCCCAGCTTCAGCCTGGGACAGCCCAAGAAGCAGAAGCGAGAAAAAAGTCCCATGTTTTTCAAAAGGCAACTGCACTTTCTTGGCCTTGTTCCTTGAAAATGTTTCACTTCTCATCCAAGAAGCTTCTGATAAACTGAAGACCTGGTCAGCAGGAAGAGGAAGAAGATGGCAAAGGTCAGCTGGGGTGGGGGTAATCTAGCGCAGCAGGCAGCCAAAAGGGCATAGTAGGCATAGTAGGGGGAGCTGAATCACCCCTACGGACGAAAAGTGCCCGAATGCTGATCACATGACCAAGGGGATGCTGCAATGGCTGTAACACAAGGGCAGGGGTCATAAGTTCCTTCATTCAATGCTGTGGGTCCACTGGCCACACAGAACTCAAAGGAAGAACGGTTACCACTGGGAGAAGGCAGTCCCATGTCCAGGTTCTGACCCACAAAATGCTTTAAAGCAGTGGTTCTCAACCTTTCTCATGCCGCGACCCCATAATACAGTTCCCCATGTTGTGGTGACCCCCAACCACTTATACATCACTGGGTGCCAGGGGTGTGGCCAAAGAAAAGGGGAAAAAAATGGTGGACAGCCTTGTTTGGCGACCCCCATGAAATGGTCATTCGACCCCAAATGGGGTCCCGACCCACAGGTTGAGAACCACTGCTTTAAAGGCAACGACCAGCACCTTGAATGGAACCCAGAAGCAAACTAGTAACTTCGAAGGAGAAATGGTACATGGGCCAACTGTTTGGTGCCTGTGGTGGCTTAAGCAACGACTTTCTGGACCAAGTGACGTTTCCAGTTGATCTTGGAAAGTAGCCCCATGTAGAGCACGATGGAGTAATCAACAGGGAAGTAACCAAAGCATTAATGACAATGAGAGGTTTCGGTTTGGTAGAAGATGTGAACCTACCGATGGGTTTCGGTTGGTCATGAAACGTAAAAGATATGAATCATCAATAAGAGGCTGCTTCTCTTCTCCCCAGCATTTTACAATTCAGAAATCTAAAATCAGAAAAAAGTCAACTTTGCTCCCTTCAGACTGGAGACTACAACTCCCATCAGTCCCAGCTGGCCAAGGGCAAGGGACTCCAGATACACCCGTAAGTTGTGTTATGTCACCCACCTAAGCTAAAATGAATTATATACAAATCATCCTAGACTTACAACAGTTAATTTAGTGACCGTTCAAAGCTACAATGGCACTGAAAAAAAGTGACTTATGAGCATTTATCACACTTCCAATACAACTGTTGCAGCATCCCCATGGTCACATGATCAAAATTCAGACGCTTGGCAACTGACTCATATTTATGACGGTTGCAGTGTCCCGGGGTTATGTGATCATTTTTTGCGACCTTCTGACAAGCCAGGTCAATGGAGAAGCCAGATTCACTTAACAACCATCTTACCAACTTAAGAACTGCAGGGAAGAAAAGTCGTAAAATGGGGCAAAACTCACTTAACAAATGTCTCACTTAGCAACAGAAATTTTAGGTTCAATTGTGGTCATAAGTCGAGGACTACTTCTACCTGTTCATCTATCTTTCCCTAAAGCTATTTCTAGGACCATGCTCGGAAATTCTGCATCTTCAAAAAGTAATCATAAGCATGTTCAGGCATGTACTGAGACATCACCACTCTTGTCCTTTTCACGTAACAAACTTAAAAGAAAAAAAAAAATCCAAAGCAGAGAACATAACTTCCTTCATTGAAATTTACTTTACGTTTGTTACCCTGGTAAAATGTTCACAAACATATTTGCAAACTGCAACAGCCAATCACTGGAGGGAGGGGGGGATTTATGATTACTTCATCAATCTGAAGTGTTATTTAAGGGGTAGAAATTAGTAAACAACTATCAGACGCAATCAGCACCTCAGAGGCTTCTCTGGATTTTACTCTGATCACAAAAGCACCTGAAACCGAGAACAGGTATGGAATTAAATTATTAAATAAATAATTAAAAATATGATCTGGAAAGATATGCTCTCAGTGGTGGCGGCGATGATGATGGAATTTTATGTGCAGGTTAAGTCCCTTAGGAAAACTCTTATTGCAGTTTTAGAAGAGTAGCATTCACATGGAAATACGAGTCAACGCAACTAATGAACTAGAACTACAGAGGCAAATGCAAAATATGCATTCTTACAGATTAGTCCTGTAGTTCTCTAATGACTCAATTTATTCATTAATTACTCTACATGTGTCCCTGGGAATTTTGGGAATTGAAGTCCACACATTTTAACATCGCCAAAGTTGAGAAACAATGATACAGAAAAAAGGATGCCAACCCACCCAAGAGGCATCCAGGTTAGAATTAAGGCAAATGGGCGAGTTACTAAATTGGCAGATCTAATGGGCCTTACTTACTCCCAAGATTTCCAAACAATGTGTCACAATGACAGATTTTGGAATTGCAGCTCTAAAAGTTTTCTGGGGAAGCCTGAATTAATTGTGACTCTAAGTTGCCTAGAATCACCTTGGTGAAATGGATGGCTTGGAAATGTAATACTAATTAAATAATATTAAAGCAAGATAATTTATACAACACATGTTGTTAAGCTCTGCAATTTGTTTTTAGCACCTGACTTAAATTTCCTTCCAAGAGAAGTCCAACTGCCTCCCTCATTAATTATTTGAAATGTTAAGGTAAGCATCTAAGATTGTCCTTGTTAATTTGATGCACTTGCACTGTTTAAATTATTTTTTAGCTTTCTGGTATAGAACATTTATCTTGAAATTTGCTTCAGGGCCCCCAGTCAAGAGCAAAAATTAAGATACAAACAAGACTATAAATGGGGAAAGCTTTGCTAAGTCAACTTGTGAGGCATCAATGGAATATTTTTTGCAGCATTATGGAAGGGGTTAACCAGAGTCTCCCCTTTTGCTCCAACATTAAACTGCTATCGCTCCACCAACTGGATGCCTATTTGAAAAGCAGGATTGAAATCTTTTAATAAAATAACTGCCCCAATTGAATTTTTTAATTTTCTATTCTAGTGTTTCTGTAAAATTTGTCATTTAAATGCTCGGTAAGGTAAAGAAAACTCTGCTGGGAAGGGGTTCTTTTTTGGGGGGGGGCAGGACAGGATAGAATATTCCCACAGAAGCAAGCCATTTGTGTATGTGGGAAGGATCAGTAACCAGAATACTAGCAATGAAATCACTGTCCAAGTATGGAATTTTATATAGCCAAAGTGTTTCCACCCAGGTATAAAAGGGAAATATAAATAGGCTAAGCAAACACACACACACACAGCAAAAAAAAAAATGCCAAAAGCATCCATGAAATCTGAGAATGTTCAATGATCATAAAATATCGACTTGGGAGGAAACAGAAAAATTAGTTGACTGGCAGCTTTCAATAGCACATATCTGTGGTAGTCCTAATTTAATGCCTATGAGTATAGATAAGGGCAATCCAGAAAACCTTTAAAAGTTAGATTTCACTAGCAGATTCCAGAAAACTGAATAAGCTTATGTAAGCCTTCCAGGTAGACCAGACAAGAAACACAACCAGATGAGCGAATTCTACTTTATTATAAGGCAACATTAATAGAATCTGGCTGAAGGTACAAATCGCCCACTGTCTGTTTTTATTGCTTGATTAGTTAGGGCAGATCCTTTCCAAGTGTCTTTCACTCACATTTGCTCAGTTGTGGGCTCTTCGCCCTTTTATTTGATTGTTCCCTAAGCGGGTCTTTCTCTCTCCTGTCTTAACATTTCTTGACAGAACAATTAAGCAGTGGAAGGGCTTGCCTTCAGAAGTTGTGGGTGCTCCATCCCTGGAGGTTTTTAAGAAGAGATTGGACCACAATTTTCCTGAAATAGCATAGGGTCTCTTGCTTGAGCAGGGGGTTGGACTAGAAGACCACCAAGGTCCCTTCCAACTCTATTATTCTGTTATTCCAAGGTCATTCTTATATTCCATTACAGCTTGACATTTTAGACCAACGTTTCTCAACGTTGGCAACATTAAAATGCGTGGCTTAGGGAAGGCTGGGGGGCTGCAGTCCACACATCTTAAAAGTTGCCAAGTTTGAGGAAAACTGGTCTAGACATTCTCCCACTGTGTTCGGTCAGAGCTTTGATTTGTTTTGGGCGACGAAAGCCAATTCTTAAAGTAGCTTGAGCGAATCGATAATGTTCACTGTTACAAATACAGGATGAAGAGGCAGATGAGATGGCTCTGGCCTGTGGTGATGCTTGCAATCCTGAGCGAACTTCTCTGGACTGCTTCTGCAGCAGAGGGCGATCCCACTACGAAAGCAAAAACAACCAAGAAAGCACCAGAAAAAACAACCAAGTCACACAGCAGTGTTCCTATGCCTGCTATCCCTCTCATTTTGACTGTTTCATCTTTATGTATTTTCTTTGTCTCTCAATATAAGCTTTAAAATAAGCCTGTTTATTAGAGGAACTGTAAGTCAAATTCAGAAAAAAAATAATCTGTCTGTATCTGACAAATCTTTTGCTATCCCTCTTGTCCTTCTGAAATGTATGTTGCCTTGTTAGCAAATCCACAGCAATGTGTGATTTTTAAATTCAGTTTAGCTTTCGCATTGTGATGGTAAATGGAGACAAGAGGCTAAATTATTATTATTATTAATAATTGTTGGAACGAATGGAAAAACTTTAAATATAACTATAGAAAATTGCTGTATTAAGCAGGCTTTATCTAGAGGAAAGCTGATTGACCAGAATCTGGAATACAGAATCAAAGGCCACATCGACAAAATTGAAAGATTAGTGTCATGTATGGACTATTTTGAAAAATAATAGAAAGACTCAATCAAGACTTTTATGTAATATGTCCTACATTAAATGAAATCTGATAAAAAAAATGCTTACAAATGTATTTCTCTCATGAATTATTTGGGGGAGGAATAAAAATCGAGCAGTTCTGAGATCTGTGAACACTATTTCAAGAAAATCCATTAAAATAATAATTCCAGGAAAATATGTTCAATTTCTGTAAAGCAGCATGCAATTAATCAACTCCAATCTATTCAGTGATAGCATGAGTATATTTGTCCAGCAGTAGCTATCTGACACATAGCTTGCTACCCAAACCTGAACAATTTAAGAGCAAATACAGGTGGTCCTCGACTTATGACCAAAATTGAGTCCAACATTTCTGTTGGTAAGTGAGACATTTGTGAAATGAGTTTTGCCCCATTTTATAACCTCTCTTGCCACAGTGTTAAATGAATTACTGCAGTTGATAAGTTAGTAACACGGTTCTTAGGTGAATCTGCCTTCCCCCTTGATTTTGCTTGTCAAAAGGGTGCAAAAGGTGATCACGTGACCTTGGGACACCGCAACCGTCATAAATACATATCGGTTGCTAAGCATCTGAATTTTGACCACATGAGCATGGAGATGCTACAAAGTGTGAAAAATGATACGTCCTTTTCAGTGCTGTTGTAACTTTGAATGGTCACTAAATAAACTGTTGTTAAGTCAAGGATTACCTGTACTTTTATTAAACATTAAAAACTTACAATACATTCCCAATAATAATATATATGTAAGCCTAGTACAGATCATGTTTGCCACGTACAACTACAGCAGCATGTTATTTCGTAGAAATCTATGTGACAGGATAGGGCAGGTGGTCCTTGACTTACAACCGTAATAGAGCATGCTCATTACAGTTGCAAATGGTGACTGGTGTTAAGCAAGAGTGCCTCGCTTAATGAACCCCACCTCCTGCTCTGCCTTGAGGCGGTTGTTAAACGAACACACAGGTTAAGTGGATCACGGGGATGCCTCCAGGATAGGGGAGACCCTGGAAGGCTCCCGAGGCTCTCCCCACCCTGAAACAGCCTGTGATCTGCTTCCCACCCCTCAGAGTCCCCACAATCTTTGGACCTATTTCCCCTCCCCCTGCTGGTCCCGACAGGCCTTTCAGCCCCCCTGCCCAGTTCCCTGCAGGCCTTTGCCCCCCACCAGGTCCCCACAGGATTTGGGCCTCCTCCCCACCCCTATCCCACACTTACCTTTTGAAAACCGCCAGAGCTCTGCTGCTGCTTTCTGCAGCGCTGTAAAGACCATGTTAGGGAAGCAGAACAGATCCTTTTGTTGGGTGGCCATGTGGCACGATCCTGGAAGCGCTCGCTTGGAAAATGACTGACGCTTGTGAGATGCCATCGCAATTGCAACAACAGAACAGCCTGCTTGGCTTTGCTCATGTTAGCAAAGCAAGCTTCTCAATTGCTGGAATTGCGGTACCATCTCACAAGCAGCCACCACTTGCCGAGCGGACACTCCCAGGAGGGGGCCATGTGTCCCACCAGTGGTTTGCAGCTGTACAAACCATCACAGAAGTGCCTGCTTGGACTACCAGCAATGGAGTGCCCTGCTTTGCTCGCTGATGCTGCGGAATCCTGCAGGGATCACATTCACAAAGCAAAGCTGTTGCTGGAATCGCAGCACCATCCCACAACGGCCGCCATTTTCCGAGCAGCCACAATTGAATGGTCTCCTTCCCTACCCCGACCTCCTGAACTCCGGAGACCTACAAAAAGTAAGTGAGGAGGAGGAGGAAGTGGGGACCCAGCATAGGGGATGGGGGAAGGAGATGGGCAGGGGGGAGGCTGCAGTGTTCCTGCGGTCAGTTGTAACAGCTGCAGCAGCCGTAACTTTGGGACCGGGTCGTAAGTAGCTTTTAAGGGTCTGCTGTAACTTCGAACAAGCGAGCAATTGTTAAGTGAGGACTACCTGAAAATAAAACTGGTTTTTTGACACGGACGATAATTTTTGTTTTTAATTATATCACCACAAAAGCAGTTAGGTTTTCTTCTTGCTCTAGATCAGGGGTTCTCAGCCTGTGGGTCGGGACCCCATTTGGGGTCGAACGACCATTTCACGGAGGTCGCCAAACAACGCAGTCCGCCATTTTTCCCCCCTTTTCCTTAGCTGTGCTACTCCCTTTTCTTCTATTGGCTTTTGAAAGCCAATAGAATAGACTCTCTTGAATAGAGTCTAATTCTATTGGCTTTCAAAAGCCAATAGGAATTGTCCAGGCTGTCTCTGCCCTGCTGAGCCCGCCAAAAGTCCCATTCTGCAAACGGTGCTGCACCAGTTGAGTAGTCCTCGACTTACGACCGGTTGAGTAGTCCTCGACTTACGACTGGTTGGGGGTCGCGGCATTAAAAAGGTTGAGAACCACTGCTCTAGATATTATGTGTAAGTTTCATCATAAAAAGTACAACTTAAGGCAGAGATCCCCAACCCCGGGCCCATGAATCGGCACCAGTCTGCAGCATGCCAGCAACTGGGCCGTGCAAACAAGCAGGCACCATCCTACGTCCCCTCCAGTCTGCGGAAAAATCTCTCTCCACAGAACCGGGTCCTTGGTGCCCAAAGTACATGTCGTTTTGAAAGAAATGGGCTACCCCGCCATATACATACACACAGAGTCCCTCAAACAAAATATGCGCCTCAGCAAAAAAAAGCCACCAGATAATGGCAAATAATGTTCCTCACAGCTAATATTGCAAACGCTTGACAGTACACTTTTGTGTACAAACATATTGGGAGTCCTTGACTTACGACCACAATCTGGACCAGAATGCGGTTGTTAGGTGAACTGTGCCCAATTTTATAACCATTTTTGTAAATAATAATAATAATAATATATAAATCCCTCCAGTTGTTAAGAGAATCGTGTGGTAGTTCAGTGAAGCCTCCAAATTTTGATCACGAGACCACAGGGATGCTGTGATGCTCACAACTGCAAAAACCACTTGTAAGTCGCTTTTTTTAGTGCCACTGCAAATTCAAATGGTTGCTAAATGAACAGCTGTAAGTCGAGGACTACCGTTACGCACACCTCATCTTGCTACGCCTTTCAGAGTACCCAAAAAATACCGCAAAAGGGCAAAACAATTGTCACTGCTCAAAGCAAAGCAAAAGCTGGACCTATATGTCCTACAACTCTCAGTAGTCGCGTTTAAAGTAGAACAGAAAACTGTTTTACCGGCGAGCAATGTAATAGAAGACAGGATTGCCAGCTTTTGTCGTCCCAGCTTGGTAAAAAATGTTGAGGGTTTTCAAGGCTTTGAATTCTTCTTTCTCATGTACTTGGTGCCTAAGGACACGAATAGAGGCAGGAAAGCAGCAATTTACCCTTTTGTGACTGTCAGAGATTCCCTAAACTTTGTGGCTAGTGGATCTATTTAGAATTACAAGTCACTGAACTCCCACAAAACGGTGGCCAGGGCAAACATAGATATGAAGGCTTCTGCTGGTGCTGCTTCTTGCTAATCTCTTTAATTTTCCAAGATGCATCTTCCCCCTCCCCTATCATGGTTTTGGGGGCAAAGTGAGTCAGCTTCCACAGATAATATTCTGTTGTAGCCAGCTACCCTTTTTCACTTTCTAAGAATTCTGCTAGGAATTGATCCCCAAAGGATCCTTGGAATTAAAGATGCTTGCTTGCTTTGCAACACACTAGCTTCCCACTTAATGGTTAAGAATCTAAATAAAATTACAATAGCATTCAAGGAATGAATGGTACATTAACCTCAGGTATCAGTTGAATCTATAAAAGATGTTAATTGCATCCATTTATATCATTTGTGCTGGGGGGGGGCTTGGCTGTTGAGAGTTCAAATTTAACATCTAGGAAGAAATACTTTGCCCATCCCTGCAGAGATCATTAAATCACAACAGGCCAGCAAACATTTGGATTCATTTACCTTGTCATAAATTCCTCAAACTTGGAACTAGTGAGGTTTATACTGGACCACTGCGTGTCTGCCACTGGTTTGTGTTCAGGAGGACCCAGGTATGCAAGCAAAGTTGCCATCTTGTCAAATGGTCGCCTTCCAACAGCCTTGTGATCCCTAGAGGATGATCACAATTTAGGGATATAAAAACCTTGACGGATATGTTTATCAATCTGCAAGTTGCTGTAGACAACTAGATGTTATACGGGTAGTCCTTGACTTGTGACAATAATTTTTTTTTGGGGGGGGGGGTCAACCAATTGTATGTATAGGACAGGGGTAGGCAACCTTGGCTCTTTTATGACTCGTGGACTTCAACTCCCGGAATTCCTGAGCATGCATGGCTTGCTCAGGAATTCCAGGAGTTGAAGTCCACGAGTCATAAAAGAGCCAAGGTTGCCTACCCCTGGTCTAGGACTACCTGTACTGTAAATCAGAGTTTTCAGTCTTAGCAATTTTAAGATGTGTGGACTTCAACTCATAGAATTCCCCAGCCAGCATGGAATTCTGGGAATTAAAGTCCACAAAGCTTAAAGTTGCTAAGACTGAGAAACACTGCTGAAGCAAATACTTATAGCATGCAAAATACTATTTCTGTAGTTTAAAAAACACTAAAAACTCGCTTATTCACTATATCTAGAGGCCACATTTCTAGTATTAAATGGCAACTCTTCCTCCTCCATTCCAAGATTTATTGATGTATAAGAACCACTAAGTCCCACTGCATGTTACATTTTTGTTCAAAAATTCAAATGTTCTTCCTCTCAGTTAAAGATTGCCCAAACCTCCCGCAGGGTACAATCTACTCCATCTTATCTACACTTTGGGTCTGCTCTATGCTCAAGTACTATTGGCTTATTGATTGACTGAATTTACTGTATTTGCCACCCATCTCCTAACGAACTTTAGCACTTTATAGTAATGTATAATTATTTTTCAAGATAAGACTTTTTAGTTGTATATATTCAATGAATCAATTAAATAATTAATTGTAATGTTATCACAACTGTAAATTCTCTGTTGATTTAGTGAAACTTTTATTTTTATATGCATTATGTCCATGAGCCATGGAGGTGCAATGGTTAGAATGCAATACTGCAGGCTACTTCTGCGGACTGCCGGC